AAAAATTAGCCGGGCGTGGTAGTGCACGCCTGTAGTTCCAGCTCCTTGGAAGGCTGAGGCGGAAGGATCGCTGGAGCCCAGCAGGTCGAGGCTGCGGTGGCCAGAAGTGGCCACTGCACTCCAGTCTGGGTGACAGAGTGAGACTCCAACTCAATAAAATAAAATAAAATAATATAAAATAAAATAAAATGGAAAGAGACCCAAGACATGCCACAGAATGATGTCAGGCTTCAAACCACATAGCTCCGTTTAAGTTATATATAATAATAGACTATTTAGGACATTTACAACCACATCATTGGTTATCTTAGGATGGTAGAATTCTCACTTTTCTTTCTTGAACTCACAAGGGAATGTATTTTGCTGCTTAAAATCCTTCAGTAAGGGCCTGGTGTCAGTAACACGGAATAGCAATGAACACACCTAACTCCTTGCTTTCTGAACACTATTGTCTACTAAAATGAAGCTGACTTCCTTAGGAAAAAATGACCAATCTGAGCACTAGGGCGGAGAAAATGCAAGATAAGCTTGCAAAACCTTGTTGCACCAGAAAGTAAGAAAGAACTCAAAGCATAGTGGGGAAATGACAAAAAGACGGCAGTTGGGTTAAAGTGTATCCCACTGGCCAACTCTTTGAGCACCAGTAAATAATCTCTTACCATCATTATACCCACTAAAATAGAAATACCTGAGTACTATCCACAAAAGCTGTGTGCCCTGTGTTTTCTTTCTGGAAGCTTACCTGATCAATAGTTTGGGGAAAATCCCCCACGGTTATTAACAAAGTCTTCCCTGGAAGCTCCACTATAGAAGACAGATTTAAGGAGAACTTCCCTGCCGAAGACAGAAGACAAAGAAGGAACCCCCCCAAATCTTACTCGTTTCCTCAGTTTTAAGGCACTTCTACAAGTTTAAGACCTACTGGAAAAGGGAACTCAACGGTCTTTCCAGCAAGAAAAATATGCTCTGAAAATGCCACTCACCTACTGATAGTGTAGAATGGCAATGTGCTGCCCAGACATCACTAATCAGTTGGACAGCTCTCCAGGCAGGCACTACCAGACCATTGGTGCCAGCATCAAAAAGGAAACTTTCACCGTCTAAGCTCGGACCTCCATCCCTGCTGAATCCCAGATCATAATCTAGAGTTCAGAGGCTGCTGCCAGGACCAGCTCTGAGCCGAGGCCCGGGTGGTTGGGCTGTGCAGGGTGCAAGCCCACTCTCACCTTGTGGAGTAGATCCTCAAGACTGTGTGCCATGATGCCCTTCCGCACGCTCCGATCTGCAGTGCTTACTCGGCAGGGCCTGGCCCTGGGGGCCTCCCTGCTGGGCTCTGACAGTAGCTGCTGGGTCACCACCGAGGTGCTCACTGCCACATGCCTGGGAGCAATTGGAGCATCAAAATGAACAGCCCGCTGCTCCCAGCCCTCACCTCACCACACAGGATAACTAACTTCCCCACCCCTCCAGACTGGGCTCACCATAAGCCTCCTCCCCTACCACCCACAAGCCCGTTCTAATTAGACTACTCAAAGGCCTGCTAGAGCAGTGCCTGTCACACTTGGATGGACCTGTATGTCACTGGGGAATGTTGTTCAAAGGCAGATTCTGATTCAGTAGATTTGGGTGAGGCCTGAGATTCTATATGTCGAAGAAGTTCCCAAGTGCTGGTTCTTGGAACATAAGGAGTAAGCAGCCAGGTGATAAAAGACCCATCCCATATTCCCCCAGTTACTACCTCTCTTGGGCTCACCCTTCTCACCTGTAAAGTGGGATGAAGTAGGGGAAGCCTGAGATCAATGTGAGGTATTTTTTAACTCTGAGATGTACAATTTAGAACCAAAGGAGTGGAAAGAATCTAGATTTTGCATTCAGGCAGGCCCAAGTTTGAATCTTCGCTCCATTTCGGATTTGCTAGGTGATTGAGAGCACTCACTCTGTCCCTCAGTTTTCTCATCTATGAAGTTGGTACAATAACCCCCACCTCCCAAAGTGGTGACGCTTCAATGACATCAGAAGTGAAAGCATCAAGCACAGTGTCTCTCCCTTTACCCAACGTGTGGTGGTGGCGATGGCGGCAGTATTAATATCAGCTGGAAGCTTGTTGGCAGTACAGAATCTCAGGTCCCACTCCATACCTCCTGAATCAGAATCTGCATTTGAATAAGATCCTCATATGACTTTTAGTCCCCATTAAAGCTGGGAAGGTCTGGCCGGGCACAGTGACTCAAGCCTGTAATCCCAGCACTTTAGCAATTTGGGAGGCTGAGACGAGAGGACTGCCTGAGCTCAGGGGTCAAGACCAGCCTGGGCAACTTGGTGAGACCTCGTCCCTACGATAAATAAAAAAAAAAGAAAAAAAGGGAAAAGAACCGGGTGTGGTAGTGCATGCCTGTAGTTCCGACTACTTGGAAGGCTGAGGTGGAAGGATCACTTGAGCCCAGCAGGTTGAGGCTGTGGTGGCTGTGAGCGTGCCACTGCACTCCAGTCTGGGTGACAGAGTGAGACTCCAACTCAAAAAAAATAAATACATATTTATTAAGTAAAACAAAATAAAGTTGGGAAAGTCTGGCCTACAGCTCATAGGTGGCTCCCATTCCCTTCTGCTCTTGGTTCTTCTCACCTGGAGAGAGACTTGGGGTAGAGAAGACTGAGGGACTTCATGGCATATTCCATCCTCGTCAGCTGGACTGCGTGAGACCTGGAAGGAAGCAGAAACAGCTGGTTAGGGTGGGATGGGAATTTTCCCATCTCTCTCATCATTGGACACGGGGCAACCCAATCCCTATTCGGCAAGCTTCTGCCCTGGTCTCCTTTCCCAACTCATACACACCTTCCCCAGACTTTCTCCCATCTAGCCCCACAAATGCCTATGTGGGGGCTGGTCTGGAAAGTCCCTCAAGTGCTGTGACCCCTATGCCCACCCCTCCGTTGCTTAGTGCTCAGCTGCTCCGCCCGCCCCAGCCCCACTCACTCCATGTTTTTCGGATCCTGGCTCTGATCACACTGAACAGGGATCCCAAGTCGTGGCTGAAGAGGCCCCTGCCTGGTTTGTTCCTGTCCCTGGGGGCAGAGTCCACTCTATGCTGGCAGGAGGTGAGTCATGCCACCTCACACTTCTGGGGACCATTCCCTCACCTCTGGTCTAGAGACCTCTCAGGCAGGAAGCCCAGTCTCAGCCTGTTCTCTCCCCGTGGGTCATTGAGCAATCTGAACCCCTCCCTGAGGCTTTGCATTGGCCAAAATCACTTGCTGTGATGATGAAGATGTTCTATGTTCTCACTCTCCAATACCATAGCTACTAGCCCCATGTGGCTAATATGACTAACTTGATTGAATTTAAATAATTTAAGGTTAAATAGGCCAGGTGTGGTGGCTCGCGCCTGTAATCCCAGAACTTTGGGAAGCAGAGATGAGAGGATTGCCTGAGGGATTTGAGACCAGCCTGGACAACTTGGTGAGCCCTCATGTCTAATCTCTACAATACATTTTTTTTAAAAGGCAACTTCCTCAGGTCCCCTCCTGCTCTGGGAGCTTTTCTGTTCTCTCAATAAATCCTGCTTTCCAAAATAATAATAATAATAATAAATAAATCAACTGGGCATGGTGGTGCACATCTATAGTTCTAACTACTTGGAAGGCTGAAGCCAAAGAATCGCCTGAGCCCAGCAGGTCGAGTCTGCAGTGGCTGTGAGTGTGTCCCTGCACTCCAGCCTAGGCGAGAGAGTAAGACTCCAACTCAAAAAAAAAAAAAAAAAAGATTAAATAGGCATTGTGTCTTGTGGCTCCTGGCAGCCATATTGGACAGCACAGATCTAGGCAGATAGCCCTGGGGTTACCTGCTTCCACCTTTTCTCCTACCCTTCTATATTCCAGCTCTTAAAGGATTCGAACCATTGTACAGGTAGTTCCCTCCACCTGCAATGCCTTTCTCTGATTCAGAGCTAAGATTTTGTAGCCTTGAAGCCCTGGTTGCACTGCTTTCCACTCCTTAGAAAGCCTCCTTAGACAGCTCACGAAAATATTACCCCTTCATCCTGCCCTTCCTAGTCGAATGTGCCTCAGTGTCTGTTTTTGCTCTAGCCACTCAGTCTCCAGGTGCCTGGTCTTGAGTTGCTCTCCCTATTCCTAGCCTTCAGCATAAGGAAGGCTTGGCACAGAGTAAGGAGCACAAGGAGTGTGCACAGAACAAGCCTACCCTCCAGTCGGGTAAAATCACTCTTTCCTCTGAACCACTTGAGGGACTTTCCAGACCAGCCCCCACAGAGACAGAAAGCCTTATACCCAGTTAGCACTACCCAAGTTTGCTTGCTTTGGTCTCATTCATTACCTATCCCTAGCAAAACTCTGCCAAGCCCCACCTCACCTGCTTTCCAGAAGCAAAAAGAAAAAACAAAAAAAAATCAAAATCAAAACCAAAAACAGAAACAAACTCCTTACCTCCCCCTCACACAGCCTCCTGGCCTCCTTGAGAAACTGCCCTGTATGGCCCAGCCCTCCCCTCATTTTATTTCTAGCCCCCATGAAGTCCCTCCCCTGGCCTTCAGCCCCAGCTAGGGAAAAGAGCTTGTGGAGTGAGTTTGCAGCCCTCACCATAGGAATTTCAAGCCAGCCTGACTTCCAGAAAAGGCCTGAAAGGAGGGGAGAAGGCATGTTTCGAAAGCTTTGGAAAAGGATAGGGCCTAGGACAAGATGTTAGGCACAGAGGGCACAGAAAGCAGGCAAATGTGGGTTTTGGTCTCAGCTGCACCCCATACTGGCTGTTTGAGCTTAGACAAGTTACCTTACCACTGTGAGCCTCAGTTTTTCTTATCTGTATAATGGGGACAACGATTTCTGTTTTACAGCATAGTGGTGAGAATTAGTGATAATAAAAATAAAAACTTTGCAACATAGATTCTTAAAAGATGGAAGTGATTATTGGCATAATTGATCATATGTTTATTAAATAATAGCAGAAACTAAGACAAACTGAAACATGGAGTAGTTAAGAGTATGAGATCAGCCGGGCACAGTGACTCAAGCCTGTAATCCCAGCACTTTGGGAGGCCAAGGTGAGGGGATTGACTGAACTCATGGGTTCGAGAACAGCCCGGGCAATTTGGTGAGACCTCATCTCTACCACAAATAAAAAAATTAGCCGAGTGTGGTGGTACGTGCCTGTTATTCCAGCTACTTGGAGGACTGAGGTGGAAGGATCGCCTGAGCCCAGCAGGTCGACATGGGGTGGCCGTGAGCATGCCACTGCTCTCCAGCCTGGGCGATAGAGTGAGACTTCAACTCAAAAAAAAGTGACATATCTACAAATGGGATATTATTTGTCAATAAAAAGGATATATGCTACACATGAAGAAACCTGAAAACAGGTGGAAGAAGCCAGTCGCAAAAGATAAAAAACATAATATATGATGCCGTTTATGTGAAATGTCTGGAGTAGGCAGACCTATTTATGAGTGGTTGCTTAGGAGTAGGGGAAAGAGGGGAATGAAGAGGGGCTGCTAATGAGTACAGAATTTCTTTTAGGATAGATAAAATTTCTAACCTGGTAATCATAGCCTATTTTGGTGATTATTGCACAGCCTTGAAAATATACTAACAATCATTGACGTGTACACTTGAGTGGGCGAATTGTATGATATAGAAGTTATATGTCAATAGGCTATTTTTTGTTTTTTTTGAGTCAGTGTCTCAGACTGTTGCCCAGGCTGGAGTGCAGTGGCATGCTCACGGCCACCCCAGTGTCAACTTGCTGGGCTCAGGCGATTCTTTCACCTTAGCCTTCCAAATAGCTGGAACCACAGGTGCGCGGTACCATGCCTGACTAATTTTTTGATCTACTGTAGAGACAAAGTCTCACCAAGTTGCCCAGGCTGGTCTTGAACCCCTGGGCTCAGCCAATCCTCTTGCCTCAGCCTCCCAAAGTACTGGGATTATGGGCTTGAGCCACCATGCACGGCCAAGGCTGTTTTTAAAAAAATAATTTAGCCTCTCCTTTCTTTTAGCACAGGGTTTTTCATACTTCGATGCATCAGTGGAAAGTTTGCTAAAATTTAGATTCCTGGACCCCACCCCAGAGTTCCTGACTCTGTCTGTGGTTGAATCTAATAATTTGTTTTTGTTTTGTTTTTTTAGTTGGAGTCTCACTCTGTCACCCAGGCTGGAGTGCAGTGGCATGCTCACAGCCAACCCAGCGTCAACCCGCTGGGCTCAGGCAATCCTTCCGCCTCAGTCTTCCAAGTAGCCAGAACTACAGGCGTACACTACCACGTCCAGCTAAATTTTGATTTATTGCAGCAATGAGGTCTCGCCAAGTTGCCCAGGCTGGTCTTGAACCTGTGGGCTCGTGCAATCCCCTCACCTCGGCCCCCCAAAGTGCTGGGATTACAGGTTTGAGCCACTGTGCCCAGCCAGAATTTGTATTTCTAACAGGTCTTTGGTGATGGGGAAGCCATGGCTGCTCAGAGAGCATGCTTTCGGAACTGGTGGTCCAGCAATAGCTGTGCGAGCTAACTTCTCTAAGCTTGATCTGAGGAATAGTGATAAAAACAGCTCCTACGCCATCGGTTTTCATGAAGATTAAATAAAATAGTCATGAAATGTACTTGTACTTGATACAAAGCCTAGTATAGCCCCAGAGCTCAATAAATAGCAATTATTATTATTTCTGTTTATTTTTTGAGACAGGATCTTGCCTGTCACCCAGGCTGGAGTGCAGTGGCATGATCGTGGCTCACCATAGCCTCAAACTCCTGGGCTCAAGCAATTTTTCTGCCTTAGCCTCCCGAGAAGCTAGGACTACAGGTGCTTGCCACCATGCTCTGCTAATTTTTTTTCTGTTTTTTTATAGAGATGGGGGTCTCATTTTGTTGCCCAGACTGGTCTCAAACTCCTGGCCTCAAGTGATCCTCCCGCCTCAGCTTTCCAGAGTGCTAGCATTATAGGCATGAGCCACTGCACCCAGCATATTATTGTTTAGATGTAAATCTTTCCCTAGAGGAGCTCTTAGGCAACAACCATTTATTCATTCAGCAAATATTAAGTGCCTACTATGTGCCAGCCCTCCTAGGGGCTAAGAAAACACAGCCGGAAACAGGACAGTCTTGTCCCACACTTCAAGGAGCTGACATTCCTGGGACAGGAGAGAACTCAAGCCAAGAGCAAAATACTTTCAGGTGTCGGTGTTCTGAGAAGAAGATGATATTATAGCAAATGGCTGGGGAGTCAGATTGGCCTGTGAGTTCAGGAAAGACCTCCAAGGAGGTAGACTTTGAGCTAAATCAGTCTTTTGACATCCTTGGAGAACAATCAAAACAAAGGAAATATCAGTGCAAAGGGTTTGAGAAGGGAATGTGCAGGGAGGATGAGGAGACAGGAACATAAGCAACTTAAACTTAAGAGCAGACCGAGAGCCAGGGGAAAATTACAAGCAAAACACTTCAGGGAAGAAGTTCTAGGGAAAGGGTCAGGGCCCGTCCCTTGGCCATTCACGCCTCAAACATTTATTGAATGTCTGTTGTGTACTTGGTGTCCCATGGGTAGATTACCAATGGATGAGTCAGAAGCAGTCTGGCCCTGATGAACTCCAAGCACAGGCACGGGAGGCAGACCCAGAAGAGCAAAGACAACAGCAAGCTAAAGCCAGAGAGCATCTGCTTAGGGGTGAGGGATGAACTCGAAGAGTCTTTGAAGTGTTTAGAAGAGGATGATTTTGGCTCAGTCGGGGTTTAATCTATTCAACAAATATTTCTTGAAATTTTACACTATGCCAGGCACCATGAGCTGCTGGAGAAACAGATGACTCAGTTTTTGTCTCTGTCTTCGGGGAATTCACACTCTAGTGAGGGATGCTATTTCTGAACTTAGTTCTCTAGTACTGTAGCGCATGGAAATCATTTGCGACACCTTGGAGCAGAGAAGGACTCTAACTAGGACTCAAAATTGAGAAGCCATAAAAGAAACAATTGATACTTTCTACTACATACAAAAAAATTCTGTATGTTAAACTCGTAATACTATGAGCAAAGTCCAAAGACATACAATAAAAAGGGAAACTACAGTATATGGCAACTAATATTACAAATAAAAAGTGACTCTCATTCTCTCCTCTCTGTCTAACTATATCTGAGGAGGGATTCCCCCCAAAGCTGGAATTGTCTTTAGGAGGGCGACCCCCTTGTAGCACAGTCTTCCCCACTAAGTAAGTATTCTAGGATCCTAAAGGCATCAGTGTGCCAGCTAGCGTTCTGAGAGGTTACGTTTGACTTCAGTGAATTTTTTTGTGGCAAACAGGTGACTGGTTCTTCCACCATAACAGTGCACCTGCCCATACCACCCTGAATGTTCAGCAGTTTCTGACCCCAAAATGGCATGACCCACATTCCGTACTCATCCAGTCTCAGCCCGAGCAATGTTTTTGTTTCTCCGGTGAAAAAAAGTCCTCAAAGGGAAGCGTTCTGCCGATGTGGAAGTGGTGAAACAAAAAATGGCAGAAGCACTAAAAGGCATCAAAATGGATGCGTTCAAACACTGTTTTGAGCAGTGAAAAAAGTATCTCAATAAGTGTATTGCATCACACGGACAGTACTTTGAAGGTGGCTAAAGTTTAAACATGTAAGAATAAATACACAGTTTTCTTTTTAAATCCAAAATGTGTTTATTGGGATGGTTTCCCATTCATCTTGACTGGGGAGCTTTTAGTGCTGCTTTCTCCTGAAAGAACAGCCTTCTGTGAGCCTTGCTTTTCCTCCTGTAGGCTGACAGAGGAACAGCCGACACACAAAACTACTCTTTGTGCATGGCTGAAGACTGTGGTGATTTTATAGCATCCTGAGCATTCCACATCCATGAAGTAGGAGTTGGGGCTCTGTACTAGGCACTTCTTCTTGTGTTTTCTCCTCTCCTCTTCTGGAGAGGAATGAAGGAAATCCTTGCGAGAGGCATGCTCTCGTGGGTAGGGTGTCACTGCTGGAAAGGGGAATGCACAATTTTTAATTAAATACATTCTGGGTTTTTGGGCTCCTCCCCGTCGTGTAAATTAAGACCAGTGACACAATAGAAAAATGGACAAAGAATATGAACACAGTCCAAGGAAATTAAATACAAATTTCCTTTTTTTTTTTTTGAGTCGAAGTCTCACTGTGTCATCCAGGCTGGAGTGCAGTGGCACACTCATAGCCACCATAGCCTCAACCTGCTGGGCTCAGGGGATCCTTCTGCCTCAGCTTCCCAAGTAGCTGGAACTACAGGCGCACACCACCACACCCGGCTAATTTTTGCTTTATTGTAGAGATGAGGTCTCGCCAAGTTGCCCAGGCTGATCTTGAACCCCTGGGCTCAGGCAATCCTCTTGTCTCCATCTCCCAAAGTGCTGGGATTACAGGTGTGAGCCACCGTGTCCAGCCCAAATTACCCTTAAATATATGAAAAGATGCTTAATCTTACTTATAGAAAGTGAGATTTTTTTTTTTTTAGTTGGAATCTCACTCTGCTGCTCAGGCTGGAGTGCAGTGGCATGCTCACGGCCAGCCCAGCATCGACCTGCTGGGCTCCGGCGATCCTTCTGCCTCAGCCTTGCAAGTAGCTGGAACTACAAGCGCACACCACCACACCCGGCTAATTTTTTTGATTTATTGTAGAGATGAGGTCTCGCCAAGTTGCCCAGGCTGATCTTGAACCCCTGGGCTCAGGCAATCCTCTTGTCTCCATCTCCCAAAGTGCTGGGATTACAGGTGTGAGCCACCGTGTCCAGCCCAAATTACCCTTAAATATATGAAAAGATGCTTAATCTTACTTATAGAAAGTGAGATTTTTTTTTTTTTAGTTGGAATCTCACTCTGCTGCTCAGGCTGGAGTGCAGTGGCATGCTCACGGCCAGCCCAGCATCGACCTGCTGGGCTCCGGCGATCCTTCTGCCTCAGCCTTGCAAGTAGCTGGAACTACAAGCGCACACCACCACACCCGGCTAATTTTTTTGATTTATTGTAGAGATGAGGTCTCGCCAAGTTGCCCAGGCTGATCTTGAACCCCTGGGCTCAGGCAATCCTCTTGTCTCCATCTCCCAAAGTGCTGGGATTACAGGTGTGAGCCACCGTGTCCAGCCCAAATTACCCTTAAATATATGAAAAGATGCTTAATCTTACTTATAGAAAGTGAGATTTTTTTTTTTTTAGTTGGAATCTCACTCTGCTGCTCAGGCTGGAGTGCAGTGGCATGCTCACGGCCAGCCCAGCATCGACCTGCTGGGCTCCGGCGATCCTTCTGCCTCAGCCTTGCAAGTAGCTGGAACTACAAGCGCACACCACCACACCCGGCTAATTTTTTTGATTTATTGTAGAGATGAGGTCTCGCCAAGTTGCCCAGGCTGATCTTGAACCCCTGGGCTCAGGCAATCCTCTTGTCTCCATCTCCCAAAGTGCTGGGATTACAGGTGTGAGCCACCGTGTCCAGCCCAAATTACCCTTAAATATATGAAAAGATGCTTAATCTTACTTATAGAAAGTGAGATTTTTTTTTTTTTAGTTGGAATCTCACTCTGCTGCTCAGGCTGGAGTGCAGTGGCATGCTCACGGCCAGCCCAGCATCGAACGGCTGGGTTCAGGCGATCCTTCCACCTCAGTCTTCCAAGCAGCTGGAACTACAGGTGCGCGCTACCAAGCCTGGGTAGTTTTTTTTTTTAATTGTAGAGATGAGGTCTTGCCAAACTGCCCAGGCTGTTCTCGAACCCGTGGGCTCAGGCAATCCTCTCATCTTGGCCTCCCAAAATGCTGAGATTATCGGCTTTGAGCCACCACGCCCAGCCACCAATACAATTTAAAACTACACTGAGATGCCGTTCTTCACCCATCAGATTAGCAAGTTGTTAAAGCTGTGGGAAAACAGGGACTTACACACACTTATGCATTGCTGTTGAAAATATTATTGGTATAACCACTGTGAAAGGCACTTTGGCAAGATCTTTCAAAATTACAAACACAGTATGTTCTCCGACACAGCAATACCACCTCTGTGATTCCAGACTATAGATCTACTTGCCCATCAGTGAAATTATATATGTACAAGGTTATTTCCTGATACTATGTTTGTAATAACAAAATGTTGGAAGCAACACAAATGTCCTACAAAAGGGTGTAGGTTAAATAAATTAAACTGTATTCATATAATGGAACGACACTAGGAAGCTATAGGAAAAAAAGTGAAGATATTCTTCATGTACTGATTTGGAGAAAATCTCCAAGATATATTGTCATGTCAATACAAACAGCAACGTCTTTAATAGTGTGTATAATATGCTGCCCTCTGTATTTTTTAAAGGTAAAATAGAAATATAACTTCATAGCCGGGCTTGGTGGCTCAGCCTGTAATCCCGCGCTTTGGGAGGCTGAGGTGAGTGGATTGCCTGACCCCGCAGGTTCGAGACCCGCCTGGGCAACTTGGCGAGACCTCATCTCTACAATAAGTAAAACAAATTAGACGAGTGTGGTAGCGTGCGCCTGTAGTTCCAGCTACTTGGAAGGCTGAGGTGGAAGCATCACCGGAGCCCAGCAGGTCCAGGCTGCGGTGGCCGGGAGCGGACACTGCACTCCAGTCTGGGCGACAGAGTGAGACTCCAACTCAACAACAAAAAAGAAATATAACTTCATGTTTTCTTGTATATGCTTAACGAAACTGGAAGTATATATACCAATAAGTGAAAAAGTGGCTCCCTGGTCAGGTGGAGCAGGGTGGACTGGGTTGAGAGCAGGGAGGATGAAGAGCAGACGTGGAAGTGAGATTTTTCACTGCATACATTTTTAGAAATTTAAATAATTTTTTATACAATTAGCTTTCACTGTACTCTTACATATTTTATTTTTATTTTTAGCATTTTTTGGAGACAGGGGTCTTGTGCTGTTGCCCAAGCTGCAGTGCAGTGGCACAATCACGCTCACTGCAGCCTCAGCCTCCTGGGCTCACTCAATCCTCTTCCTCAGCCTTCCAAAAAGCTGGGACTACAGGCATGCTCAACCATGCCCAGCTAATTTTTTTGATTTTTTTTTTTTGTAGATACGGTGTCTCTATGTTGCCCAGGCTGGTCTCAAATTCCTGAGCTCAAGGGATCCTCCGGCTTCTGCCTCCCAGAGTGCTGGAATTAGAGGTATGAGCCATTACGATGCAGGGTCTGTCATTTCTTCATGATTAAATTCAGGTTAAGTATATTTGGAAGAAATATCACTGAAGTGATGCTGTGTCCTCGGTCTATCAAGAGGAACGAGGTGTCAGTTTGTCTCATTATTGGACAAATTAACTGTGACTACTCGGCTAAGGAGCGTACGCCAGGTTTCCTCACTGAAAAGTTACCGTTTTCTCTTTGCAATGATTAAGTGATCTATGGAGAGAAAGTTGTTAGACTGTGTGAATAATGTGTGCTTGTGGGAGAGTCACAGAACGCTTCCAAGCATCAGTTTTCCCCTCTGGGAAGTGGTGACAATGGGGTCTTAAAATGCACATTAGAGTTTAAGAAAGAGAAAGTGTGCGAGAAGCCTTCGGACAGCCAACAAGAAGCAGCCCAGGCTGAGAACTAAGTTTCCGCGCGGTCCACTCGAGGAGAGGCGGAGCGGGGCGAAGAGAGCTCGAGGGCGCGTGCGCGGGGAGAAGTGACCACAGAGTCGGTCCTCCCAAGACAGAGAGGCCGGAAGTGCTCTTCGCGGAGCCGAGCGGATGTGGGTAGCCAGGTTGGGCGCACGCCGGTAGGGCCCGCAGGCGGCTTGGCTCTGTAGTCATTGCACAGGTCTGCGTGAGGGTCTCGGGGCTTCTGGGCGGCCACAATGGCCTCTCGGGCAGGCCCGCGAGCGGCCGGCACGGACGGCAGCGACTTTCAGCACCGGGAGCGCATCGCCATGCACTACCAGATGAGGTATGAAGTGAAGCGAGGAGCACGGAGGCCTTCTCCCCGGCCGGAGCCTGCAGGGCCTGGGAGCGACGCCGTCCGGCCTCGGGGTCTCTGTCCCCAGCCAGGCCCTGCGCACCTGCCAAGCACCCTCCTCCGGTGATGGCTTCGAGCCTGTCACCCGTCTTGGGAAGCCCCGTCGCCCTCGCGAGCTCCACCCCTTGATCTACCCGGTGCCTTGAGGGGATCCAGCCTCGCGTGTGCTCCGAAGTCACGTCGATGCTGGCCCCGCTGTGTCACCCTCGAAACCTTATTTCTCATTGAACCTCAGTTTCTTCATCTGCAGAGGGAGAAAATAATCTACCTTTTAGGTTTTGGTGAAGACTCAACCGGTAATTCGTTTGAAGAAGGTAGCGTTAGGCCAGCCACATAGTACACTATAGCTGTTGTGTTTTGGGGGATGTGGACGGTAAAACCAACCTTTCCTTTCCTAAAGTGAATTTTATAACCACTGCCCTCTAAGGGATAGTTTTACATTTGATTATTCACTCAACACATGCTTACTAGCTCCTTCCAATCATGCTTTTTATTAGGCATGAGACTATAATAGTGAGCAAAAGCAGACCTGTTCTTTGTATGCATGTTATACCTTCAATAAAAAAGTTTATTAAAGGAAAAAAAAAGAGCAAAACTGTTCCCTGCCCTCCTGGAGCTAGAAGTCCTGAGGTGACTGGGCTTTTTTGTTTTTTTTCCCTTTGTCTACTTTTCCACATTTTCTATAATAAATATTTTTAAATAAAAATTTTTAAAAATTTTAATCTCCTTAAATCCATTGAACTCTCCCAGAATGTTCCTCATGTGTTTCTCTCTAGAGATTTGAAGAATGACAAGCTCTTTGGACCCTCACTTCATTCTTATCTTTAGGCCCCTGCTTAAGGGGGCTTTACAACCTAAACAAGTGTTTTCATGCCTTCCCAGAGCAGAAACATTACCCTTAGGGGTATGAGGAGGATATGTTTGAGACCTGAGAGAATCAGAATAAAAGAAATAAATGCTTCCTTTAGATGTTAAATCTAACTGGAGAAGTGTGGACAGCCTGAGTGTCTTTCCTCACAACCAATATTTTCTCCCTCCAGGCCGTACTCCTATGGTGCAGTCAAAGTCATTTTTCTTTTTCTTTTTCTTTTTTTTTTTTGAGTTGGAGTCTCACTCTGTCACCCAGACTGGAGTGC